GAACAGGGGGATAAGGCTGGGGACAGGGGGAGAAGCTTAGGTACAAGAGGAGAAGCCTGGGGACTGAGGTAGAAGCCCAAGACAAGACAGTACTTGGTTGTGATTCCAGTGGCGAGAACACTATGCTCCCCATATGTTAATTACAGACATACAAGTCCATCCCTAATGAATAGTAAACAAAATTTAAAAAAAAATATGAACAAGAAATACAACTGAGATCATAGAATTATGTAAAATTTGGTATTTTTTTAGAAAAAGAGGAGGAGGAGGAGGAGGAGGAGGAGGAGGAGGAGGAGGAAGAAGAAGAAGAAGAAGAAGAAGAAGAAGAAGAAGAAGAAGAAGAAGAAGAAGAAGAAGAAGAAGAAGAAGAAGAAATTTGTATTGGAAATACCATGATTCAATTCAGTTCTGGAATACTTTCTTCTGAAACACCTGGGTGCTGTGGAACAATGGTCTTGTACCCTGTCATTTGTATTGTTTTAATAAAATGATGATTGGTCAGTAGCCAGGCAGGAAATATAGGTGGGGCAACCAGGCAGGAAGTAGAGGCAGGGTGATAAGAACAGGAGAATTCTGGGAAAAGGAAAGACAGTCTATAGTCATCACTCAGATACAGAAGAAGCAAGATGAGAATATCTCACTGATAAGAGGTACCAAGCCACGTGACTAACACAGACAAGAATTATGGGTTAATGTAAGATGCAAGAGTTAGTTAATAAGAAAGGCTGAGCTATTAGGCCAACAAGTTTATAATTAATATAAGCTTCTGTGTGTTTTGTTGGGTCTGAACATCTACAGGACAAGGTGAGACATAAACCTCTGCCAACAAATGGCACCAACATGGACAACCACATCCACATAAAACCCGAGAGAGCTTGGAAAGTAATTCTAGACAAAAAAGAACAGAGTTAAGCATGGATTCTTGGTAGCAGCATTTTCTCATGTGGGCTCTGTTTGCTAGAGGAAAGCATGTCTCATTTAAGAGAGGCTTCCTGACTTGGCTTTAGCTGCAAAAGCCTTGTAGCTCTTTTTAAGAGGTCCCACCACCAAACACGTAAATAGTGTTTATGAATAGCCGAGAGCATGCTTCTTGGTGGTGGCAGGGACCTTGAAACTCCATAGACTTGTGGCAATAAACATGGCTCCCATCAGTACCTCTAGCATGAAGCTAGACTCTCAAAAACTAAAAGATGGGGTGTATCCAGCCATCAAAGACACAATTTTAATTCTAGCTATATCACTTAGCAAATTAAAGACTCATGTGATCAGAAAACACATTTACAGTAAAGATAGATTTAAACAAACAAACAAACAAACTCAAAACCTTTCAATGGTTTACAGTATGTTTAAAAATATATGTAGGCTTAGGAGAGAAGTCCGTTAAAAAATAAAAAGAAAGAAAAGAGAAGAAAGAGAGAAGGTGGGTGTGGTGGCACACACCTTTAATCCCAGCACTTGGGAGGCAGAGACAAGCAGATCTCTGTGAGTTCAGGGACAGCCTGTTCTACAGAGTGAGTTCCAGAAATCCAAAGATACACAAAAACCCTGTCTCAAAACCCAAAAACTAAAAAGAAAAAGAAAAAAATAGAGTTCAAAATAAAATCACATAAAGATGGAAAATACAGAGTCTGGATACTGTATGTTATTGTGTTGTCTTTGAATTGTTTGAATGTTGAGGAAGGAGCAACAGCTGCTAAGACATTTGATTATAAATGCTGCTGGATTAATCCAACATATATATATTTTGAAATGCCTTAACTTCAAAATTTAAATCAATTGATATATTACTTTAGAGAAGAGGTTTTGCTTTTATTTCTACAGAAAATGAGAGGCGGTGGATTCATTCTGTGTCAAGAAAAATCAGGTATGATCAAAAAAGACCCCCTAAAAGTCTCCAATAGAAAGGATGGCCAGATGATCCAACAATTTAGAAGACCTCTATTGGAGTTTTATCTGAGTTCTACATCCAGAACAGCCTCAAAACTGCTGGCTGTGATGTTCAAGCCTCATAGAATATTCTACTCAGGACTTGATAATAATTCTAAAATTTCCTTAGGTCCCCATAAGATTATCAGTGCCGCCAATCAGCAGGAAGTAGAATGGAAAACCATGCCCACATTCCCAAAAAGTGGATTATGGATATTTATCTTTGTTTAGAGTATTGGTTACAAGTTGTTATGGATAATGGTTTGGAAAAAAAAAAAAAACCTAAACAAAGATTAGATTCAGAGTTCTTGTTTTGGAAAAAGAAAAAGGGGAGAATTGCTGTGGGACAAAGAACTTGTATTATTTTAATAAAATGTTGATTCATCAGTGCCCAGGTGCAGGGCAACCAGGCAGGAAGTAGAGGTGGGGCAAATAGAACAAGAGGAATCTGGGAAGAAGAAAGACTCAGTCTGTAGTAATCACCCAGACACAGAGAAAGCAAGATGAGAATGTATTGCTAATAAAATGTACAAAGCCATGTGGCTAAACAGACAAGAACTATGGACTAATTTAAGTTTTAAGAGTTAATAAGAAGCCTGAGCTATTAGGCCAACCAGTTTATAATTAATGTAGACTTCTGTGTGTTTCTTTGGAACCGAATGGTTGTGGGACTGGGTGTGACAGAAACCTCTGTCAACAAAAACAACAAATATGGTGGGGGGGGAATGCTGTGGGACAACGGTCTTGTACCCTGTTACTTGTATTGTTTTAACGCTGATTGGCCAGTAGCAGGCAGGAAGTGTAGGCAGATCGATGAGAACATGAGGATTCTGGGAAGAGGAAAGACTCAGTATGTAGTTATCACCCAGACATAGAGGAAACAAGATGAGAATGCCTCACTGATAAAAAGTACCAAATCATGTGGCTAACACAGACAAGAATTATGGGTTAATGCAAAATGTAAGAATAGTTAGTAAGAAAGCCTGAGTTGTTTAAAACTCATGCAAGCCTCTGTGTGCTTTGTTGGGACTGAATGGCTGCAGGACCAGGCATGGCAGAAGCCTCTGCCAGCATCTGGGTAGTATGGAAAAGGATGGTTTTGTGATGAATGTGCTCAAATGTTTAAAGGTCCTTGGTTTGTCACTTGCATGAAGTGTCTAACACAGTTATCAAACTAGGTGTGACTGACACTGTTTCCCGTAGTTTTCAATTTGTAAAAAAATTTCTATTTGTAAAGGACAAAAACCTGTTCTCTTCCCAGGATCCTTTTTTATGGCTTGTGTGAATGTAGTCATAGCTAGGGAAAATTACACGGTAAATTCTCCTGAAGGTGGGATGATAGAGGGCATGTGTTACTGAGGCAGACGCTTGAGTAAGCAGCATTTAAAAGTAGTTAATAGACAAAAGTGTAGAAATAGTAATATAAAGTTGTAAAAAGAGATAATATTTTAGTTTCAACTATTTTTTTCTAAGTAAATAAGTTTCATGTATTAGTTTAACCATGCAATTGACAGTTCTCCTTTCCAAATAACACAGTTAAAGATTAGGACAGTTTTACATTGTACCTCAGTTCAAGCAGCAGTCATCGTCAAAAAATAAAAAAAAAAAAATGAAAAAGACGATTAATGTTCATCATTAGGCATCTTAATTGCAGGAGATGGCAAGGCATAGCCCCCCTCCATGTGCAGTTCCTGAGATGCAGGAAGCAAGTCCCTTAAGGCAAGGCGTCTTAATTGCAGGAGATGGCAAGGCATAGCCCTCCTCCAAGTACAGTTCCTGAGATGCAGGAAGCAAGTCCCTTAAGGCAACCCAATGGCAGCTAAATGAGCATGTTACTTGAGGGCCAAGGAGAAAACACATATGTGCCCCGAGTACCATTTCTATGGCATTTGTATGCGCATTTGGCAATGTTACAGTTGACTCTGGTTATAGCAATTCTACTAGTGCACTTGTTCTTCATGTTCTTTTTCTCCTTCCACACCAGTGGCATCTAAAAATATGGATGTGTTGTATGATAATATGAATCTTCCTGATCTGATAGAGTGGGCAGGCATTAAAGCTGTAAAGCAGATTATGGGGGTGGGGGTGGGACTGATGAAAGAATTGGGGAAATTTGGGGAAAATGCAAAAATTGTCCTTGGCCTGATTATAAAACTTGGCAAAAAGAATTATATTGAAATAAAAAGGAACTTGGCTGTGATGAATAAAGTTTCTGAGAAACCTAGGGCTTTAGTGCTAACCACCTACGGCCTTATAAATCAAAATTAGAATTGTGAGGAACAACAATGGGAAAGGTAAGACAATGGAGTAAAACTCACTGAACTATGCTTCTGTAAACTGCAAGTAGCTTGCCTCTGAGGTAAAAGCATCAGGAGTTTTTTTTTTTTTATGATTATCTCAGCTAAGAATTAAGAATTTAGTGGCTGGCATGGGGCTTGGGAATTGGGGAAATGTCATGATAAATGATGTTGTTCTGATTTCAAGAATCTTTATACTTCTTGTGAACTGCTTTGGTTAGGAAATGTGGCAAGAAAAAAGAATCGTTTTCCTTGTGTAAAATACACAATGAAAGACTGAGGTTTGAAGCTCAGGGTAGAAGAAGAAGAAGCTGCCCTGCAGCTGATAGCCTGTCGGTGCATCAGAATCCCGTGTTCCTGGACTCGCTTCGCCTTCCAGACATCCCAGATTCGAGACCCACTTCTCTGCCGAGGCTGGTCCCTAGCGCTTTATCTCTATGGTTGCTCCAGGTCATGGTCTGGATAAATCCCTCCTCACTGTTGTTCCATTGAGCAAGAGTGATACCAGAGCATCCCACTGAGCAGCATGGCTTTCAGGACAATGGCGTGCCAGCAGAGCTCCCAGGAATCCCATTCCTGCAGTTTAATGGCTCTAGTCTATTCTCCAGGGATGTAGAGAAATTCAGCAAGTTTCATTACTTGCAGGGTTGACATGTTAAGAACTGTTCATGAGGATGGATTGATGTTCAGTGTACTAACCTTGTCTGCAGACTTATTCAAAGGAAAGAGAAGAGATAGCATCAATGAAATACTTGTTTTCTTTATTTCTTTACTTACTTCCTTCTCTCTGTCTCAAATCTATGGAGTAATTTCCGAAGACCACCGTTCTTGAATCCCTGAAAATGGGCAGCTGGGGCTCCCACAGTGATGACATCATAGAGAGCATCTGGAACGGAAACAGGCAAGGAGATGAACACTCCGCAAACATTTGTCTCCTGCATACACTGTGCATTAAACTATCCACTCTCAGGAAGTTTGAGGAATTTTTCTGCTTTATTTTGTAGGAATAACAATGGACTCTCATCTCAAGGGGGCAAGAAGAAAGAATCAATTTTTCTGAAAGCTACCTGTGCACCTCAACAAGTTATATTTCCAAGATTTATGACTGCATCTTAATTATATGCTATAGTTCAGAACAGCATGTTCTCTGTCCCTGTACATACTTACTAAGATAACATGTTGATTGGTCTTTTGTGTGTTTTACTTTATTGAATTTTGCATCATTTAATTTGCAATCATATTGAAATTCAACAATAATGAACAATTTCTCAACCAAAGTTTTCAAAAAGACAAACAAAAAATATTAATTTATTCTGGCTCAAGGGCAGAAGAGTACAACCACATTAAAAACAAAAATCTATCTGGCATTTCCTGCTTATCTATTCTAAAATTTACATAATGTTGAATACATACTTTTGCAACTTCTTACATACAATAGAGAGAATGCAAAATGTCTCAATTTATTTTCCAGACAGATACTTTGCTTTTCATAAAAACAAATCCATACATTTAAATTGAAATTCAATCTTTTGATCCTGAACTTTATGGCTTCAAAACATGCCATCATTTTATATTCAAATAGAAGATATTCTAAGGAAAGCAGAGTCTATGTTTTCTGGTTAAACTACATTTTTGTTGAGAAATCTAATTTCATAGGAGATCTTTCTCAAATTGATTTTGATATTGACATATTGGTTGTTTCTAAGATATGGTTCACTGAGAAAAACAAATCATTTTGTTAGTCTCGAGTGAACACCATAGCTTCTTCAAAATTATTCAATCTAGATCCATGTGAATTGTTACTTTTTTTTTGAATTGTTACTTTTTAAAAATAGAATGTCACCACTCTAAAAATACTGATCAGGAGAAATAAAATGCAATTTTCCATGTGACCCAATACTTCATACAGCATAGATTTAACAACCAATTAATGGACTGTAATAACAATTACATGATAATAACTTCTTAACTTTTGATAAGTCACTAATGAATTATAATATTTCTTAGGATAGAAGAATAATTGTTTTATGAGAAATTTAATTATTTCCTACCCCAAGATTTTACCTTATGGTTAAGACAAGGAATCTCATCCTAAGGATTAGTTTTCAGAGTATGAGAAGTACCATGGAGAAAGGCAACAAATGACCAGACTCAGCTGTGTAGTAGCTAGTTAACCATAATGACCAGCATGGCAAGAGATTACCAAAGATGTAACCGGGGCAATTACATATGGGCTGTAACCAGCACCTGTCTAATTTGACTTTAGACTTGCTCAATATAGGTAATCCATGCCTCACATTGAAAACATAGCCAACTCCTTGTAGTAATAGGGACCATAGAGGAGAACCTAGTACTGCCACGTTCCCAAACCAGAGTAATCTCTAATTGCATTCTTAACACATATCCTTATACCCACATATAAGAGAAGCTCTTACCCCTCTCTTTTCCTTAGATGGGGACCATTATAGAAAGTCACAACTGGCCAAAATACAAATAGCCATTGTGTTTTGATTAGAAAATAAATCTTAAGTATCAAGTCCTGTGAGTTAGGTATGCTGTGTTCTACTGGAATGTCACCATCCCTGTCAGTAGACAGAACTAGAGAACACCTACACTTACGAACTGCTGCACACCAACATCTGTGTTCCTTACTCACCTGTTTTTCTACACTACACACACAACAGAAATGTGAGTCATGCTGATATCTTTCACTTCAACTCAGAACTATAAAACTTTCCTTTCTTCTACATTTTATATTCTCTTTCCCTGTCATTAAGACCTTGATTCCAATTATCAACAGATAGACATATGTGATCAACACTCCTATGCATATGAATTAGCTTTGTTGATGGCACACACCTTTGTAAGAAACAAATTGATCCAAAAAGTTGCAGCATGTGCATTTTTTAAAAAGTGTCTTGTAAAGTTTACTAAGAACAGTCCTCTTTGTCCCATTCACTCAATGAAATTACCAGCTTGAGTATTTTATGTATCATTTATTATCACATTTACAAGAAAATAAAAATAAATTAAAAACAAAAGGTAGAGTGTATGAAATTCTAGGGAAGATTTACATTTTGATAAAAAGCAAGTTATGTTTTCTTGTGAAGGTGAAATGCCAGGAACTGAAAAAAAAAAAAAAAAGAGAAAAGAGCACACTAATTGACTATACAATACCAAAAGCTCACCTTGAAAACACACACACACACACACACACATGTGCGCATGCGTGTGTGTATACAGATATCATTAACATTATATGGACTAAGAAGACTGTATTTTATATCTTTAGGAAAAATATATGTGTGTGTGTCTGTGTGAATAAAATGTGTGTGTGTAACCACAAATAAAAAGAGGTCCTGAATTTGAATAAGAGCAAGGAGCAATACATTGGAGGGGTTGGATATAAACAGAGACTGCTCGTTCATTTCCCAGCCGACCATACCCGAATAATCACACAGAAACTATATTAATTAAAGACTGTTTGGTCAATGACTCTAGTGTATTCCTAACTGGCTTATACCTTAAATTAACCCGTTTCTATCCATCTCTGTACTGTCATGAGGCTGTGGCCTTCCAGTAAGGTTCCTAAGGTTCCAGAGTGTCCTTCTCCTTAGGCAGGTACATGGCATCTCTTTGGCTCCACCTGCTCTCTCTCTATATCTCTGTTTGGATTTCCTGCCTGGCTTTGCTCTACTAAGTCACTGGTCAAAACAGCTTTATTCATCAACCAATAAAAACAACACATATACAAAAGGACACATCAGTTGGATGCAGGGGAAAAAGAAGAGGGGGGAAATGATGTAAAGACACTTCTAAACTTCATACATATAAACAAAAAAGCCAGGATAGCTAAAACAATCATGAACAACAAAAGACCTGCTCGAGGGATCGCTATCCCTGGTTTCAAGTTGTACTACAGAGAAATAGTAATAAAAATTTAAAAAATGCATAGTATTGGCATAAAATAGGTGGGTATTGAAACTGAATTGAAATTGTAGACTTAAGTACACACATCTAGGGATACCTGATTTTTGATAAAGAAGCCAGAAATACACACTGGAAAAATGAAAATATCTTCAACAAATGATGCTGGTCAAACTAGATGTCTGTGTGTAGAATTAGAATACATCCATACTTATCACCCTGCACAAAACTCAAGTCCATGTGGATCAAAGACCTCAACATGAATCCAAACATACTGAACCTAATAGGAGAGAAAGCGGGGAATAGCCTTTAATGCATTGGCACCGGAGGCAGCATTCTGAACAGAACACCAATAGTGCAGGTACTAAGATCACCAATTAATAAATTGTACCTCATGAAACTGAAAAGCTTCTCTAAAGTAAAGGACATAGCAGCAGCCAATTGAATAGGAAAACTTTTACCAACATTGCATCCCATAGAGATTTAATATACAACATAAATAAAGAACTCAAGAAAGTATGTATTTAAAATACAAATAATCCAATTTAAAAAATGGGAGTGCAAACTTGTACAGCCAGTATGAAAATCAATTTGGTGGTTCCCCGGAAAGTTGGGAATTGATCTGCATCAAGACCCAGCTATATCCAGTCTTGGGCATATACCCAAGGACATCCTACCACAAGGACACTTGCTCACCTATGTTCGTTGTGACTTTATTCATAATAGTCAGAAACTGGAAATAACCTAAATGTTCCTCTGATGTGGGAGTGTCATATCAATCTGTTGATTTCATTGGCTGAGCAATAAAGAAACTGCTTGGCCCTGATAGGTTAAAGCATTGGTGGGAGGAATAAACAGAATAGAATTCTGGGCGGAAGAGGAAGTGAGGTCAGACTCTGCTCGGCTCCTGGAGAGAGCCGACAGCTTGGGAGCAGAGACACCAGGATGGACGGAGGCTAGAATCTTCCCGGTAAGCGCACCTTGGGGTGCTTACACACATCATTAGAAATGGGCTAGTCCAGGTGCAAGAATTAGCCTGTAAGGGCTAGAGTTCATGTGCAAAGCAGTTCTTAAATGAATACAGTTTGTGTGTTGTTATTTCAGGCATGAGCTAGCCAAGCGGCCGGGGTGTTGGGGACGCAGCCCCACCGCTCTTATTTCAACATTCCTCAGCTGAAGAATGGATTAAAGAAAAGGTCAAAGCATAAACAATATAACATTATTAAGAAACTCTAAATCATCACTAGATATATTTTAAAGAGAGAAGAGACCCTAAAATACTCCCCATTTGATCTTCGTAGAAATACTTGAGATCATCCAGTTGCAGAACTAGTACTTTATACAAATCCTAAAGTGGAGTCCCTTTCATTTCCCGTGTCTCTAGTCACCTATGGTATTTATAGAAATCCTAAAATGGAGTCCCTTTCATTTTCCCGTGTCTCTAGTCACCTGAGATATTTCATTAATGCAGTCTCTTGTATGGGACACCTAACGTCTGGGTCAGGGTGTGACAGTCCCACTCTGGCAGGCGTTCCTATGTTTATAAGAATATTGGTTCTGACTCTCAGCCAGACTCAACTTTTAGAAAGCTTGAAACATTATGAATCTATGCTATGGTCACGAGCTTTGACGGCAAAGCTTTTTTTTCCTATTTCACAGTTTTAAAAGGTTTATTTGAATTTTTAAATTTTAGCATTGAGAGCCAAAAAGAAACACAGAAGAAGCCAACTAGAAAATTCCTATTGAATCTTCTTCCCCAAATGAATGTGGATTTTAGTATGAGCAGACTATTTTGTTTTGCAGCTACAGATATGGACACGTAAACTGTCTCATGATCTGAAATAACAGTGCACTGTTTATAACATACACTCAATTTCTTAAAAAACAAGTGTTTTCTATGGAATCCAAAAATTATTATTTAACAAAACTTAGTATTTTGCAATACCCATTTGAGAACCAACAATTATTGATAAATGTTTGAACAACTAGGTTTCTCTCTCGGGATCCCAGGGCCTTGAATTTCACTCACAATTGCTACAGAATAGCAGATTGATCAATGTAGGTAGTTAATTTCCTGGTCTCAGAATAATGAAGAAAGATGTCCAATTAAAGAGTCACATTTATTCTTAGCCATACTCCTTTAAAACAAGAATTAATGGCAATTGATTGTTTTTCTTTAGGCAAGAGGAGATAGAAGAGTTAGAATAGAATTACTCATATAACAAAATCCAAACTGAAAGGTAGCAATTTCATAACAAGGAAGAGTGCTATTATTTTAAAGTATTCTTATTTTCTCACTCTTTGTGTATTTTCATAATTTGAACAGTTTTTAGTCACATATGACAGAACTCTTCAGATTTTAGTGTCAAAAGACAATCATTAAAAACAAGGTGGAGTGTTTCATAGAAAAGTAAAAAAAAAAAAAAAAAGAAGTACTTAAAGGCCCTTTCCTTTGTCTTTCTTTTAAAATGTGCCTTCCTTTATTGACATTATATGCTGTCTGAAAAATACCTTTGGTCTCGTGAAAATCTCAACACGTTCTGTGCCATAGGGAAGCAATGCTTCAGTGGGTGAGCTGCATCAAGCCACAGAGAGCAGATTTATTTGAGAATTCATAATTGAGATGTCTTGTAGCTTTTAAATGGCATTTAATAATAGAAACAAGATGGTTCTGTTTTTACAGGAGATCTTATTAAAATCTCCTCAACTATAAAAATGTGTTAATAGAAAATTCTATGCATGATGGTCTCATATCAAGGAACAATTTAAACATAATCCCTGATTTCAAAAAGGCACACAAATCCATTTGACATCAATCGGTTGGTGAGCTTGTGTTTCTAAATAGCTCAAACAATTTGGGATCATGACTGAGCTAATCTGAGAAAGATTATCCATACTGAGAAGATGCTGCATCTACACTCTCGAGATAAAGCACTGAGGAAACTCTAATAGGCCCTTTTGCTTGGTCCTTCCTCGTGGAACTAACACTCTCAGTTACACTGAAAAATCTAATTGGTGTTGCACCTGATTCTAAGTTCACTCTCATGATATTAAGATTCTTGTTTTATTATAGCCTTAGATACACATTATTTAAGGTACTTTTAATAGCAACCACTTGAAATAGTTAACAAGGAAAATCAATGATTGTGCATGTACACACAATAGTACGCTTGCAAGGTTTTCATTTTAGTCTATTCAAACACAAAGCTAGTTCCTTCCCTGTGGACTCAATCAACAACTAAAAGGCTATGAGAGACTCCCATTTTGGGGTGGCATATCTTTGATTTTCCTTTTCACGATGTGGGTTTAAATGAGAATGCCCCCCATATGTTCACATATTTGAAGGTTTGATTCCCAGTTGGTGGAATATTTAGGAAAGGTGGGATGGAGCTCTATAACTGGGAGGTGGGCTTTAAGGCTGAAAAGTCCACATCATGCCCAGGCTGGCTTTCTCTCTCTACAGGCTTCCAGCTGCCACTCCAGCTCCATTCCTCTGCGCCTGCCTCCATGCTTCCCGCAATAGTGATCATAGACCAGCCTCCTAAAACTCAGCAAGCCCCCAGTTAAATGCTTCTTTCTATAAGCTGCTGTGTTCATCGTATTTCATCACAGCAGTAGAACAGTAACTAAGACACATTGAATTAAACTCATGGGTAGGGCTGCCTCAGGAAACTCAAAACTGAACCCATGAGATAAGTCTCATTGACTCAGTTGGGGCAAGTGTTCACTCTGTGTCTGCCTCTCTGTCTTCCCCTCTCTCCTTTCCTCCCTGTTTCTGTAGCACATACTATGGCTTCATGGCCCTTTAACAAATTCTACCCATTAAAGCACTAGAGTAAAACTGTAAAATTCTGCTCATATATCTAAGATTTATGGAGCTCCGATATCCAAAATTAGTAACGCATGAATAATAGTTACATAAAAGAATTCAATAATATACATTTCAAATAGACCTGCCAAAATGTTGCTGCTCAATTACAGGATTAAGTGCTCAAAACTAACACTAAAGTTTTACTTCTTTAAAGAAAAACAATTGCTTTAATTTGAATTCATTACATTTTATACCGCAAATATAGTACTTTATTATATCTAACATGTAAAAGACTTACAACAGACTATTATAATAGTATAAGAATATGTATTTTACAATGTTTTAACTGATGGACTTTGGAAGTAAAATACACTGAGGTATTGTGGAGTCTGCACTTAGAGTTCTCATTCTGGGGATTTTATTCCTGTTCCTGTTGTTATTTCATCAGTGTTCATCATCTCTGTTGTGGATATTTGCACACTTAGGTCATTTATAAAGATGAAACATTAGTAGTCCGAAGGAACCTGCAGTTACCTGCAGGCGACCTCATTTGTCAGTAAGAGACATCGCAAAGTTAGTGCTGCTCAGTCACCTGTTCTAAGAGCCCGACATTAGCCTTGCATTTGAGGATTCTGCCCGCTGTCAAACCGCTCTTCAAAACAGAGTCTTTGCAACCAACTCAAGCTGATAACGAATAACTAGGATGTGCTCTGGCCTCATATGACCAGTGTTCCGACAGAGAAACTGAACAGAAAGCTAGCAAGTGAGAGTGAGGAGAGAGGAAGACACAGAGAATCTTAGAGGAAAAAAAAAATTAAGGCAGCATGTAAAGCTGCAGGATTAGCAAGATGTATACGCATATCAATTTTAAAAAAGGCAAGATCAGCAACCACCTAATAATGAAGTAAGGCTTCCCCTCAGGCTCAGAGGGTTACATGGCCTGGCTGACATTTGGATTTCTGGTTGTCTACGTATCATTGTTTGTTGGTTTCCATTATGATAGTCATTAAATGAGTGTAATAACAATAAAAAACAGTAAGGATTTTACAGAACAATAAAAAAATGTAGTGTATCAGTCACTTGAGATCCAGCTCCGCTGTGCTCTGAGAACCCACACCTTTCTCATAGACAAGAGATCAAACAAAATATTCTACCACTTTCCATTCACTAAATTTCACCCACTCACTTGTTCCCACAAGAAAGAGTATTGCTGTTAACAGTCACCAAAGCGCATAAGCAGGGTGTAGCTTCACTCTGCAGTTTAGGCCTCTACCAAAGATAACAACAGAAAAGCTTGTTTCCTATTTTTCTTTTTAACAATTAAATCAGTCAGAAAATTATTACCCCTCAGCCATGATGAATGCTATTTCAGGAGATGAGGCTGGGTTTTCATCTCTAATTCAAGTATATTTCAAGTATATATACACACAAGCTTTCCATGAAACATGGAAACAGTGTTGCTTTGTTTCATGGCTGAAGACCAACATCAGCTTTGGTTGTTTCGACTTCCTGCTACCTAACTCAACTATGGTCTCTGCCACCATCACCTGCTAAAGAAGCACACACTGTGGCACAATTTGACACTCCTGGAGGAATATCAGATACCTTTGAGGTGAGGGCCGTGCACTTGCATCCGCTGCAAGTGTAGATTTATTGGAACAAATTCTAACGTTTTCTCTCCTTTGCTGCTGCTGGATTTGAAAGAGGACCCTAGAAGAAGGAAGATTAGAAATGATTAGCAAATGAAGAAACAGATCCATAAACACATATGATATATGTGTGTGTTCAAAGACACATTTGGCAAAAGTGAATGATCTTACAAGAACTTCAGACAGGAAAATATTAATCCCCTTACTTTCTTCACAAACATCAATTTTAGAATTCCTCCCTTTATTATTATATTACTATAATAATACCATGATGCAGAGCAGTACAGCTCATGCTCCCTTGCGTTAGCTGACGAGACAAGAGAGCCACAGAGTTGAATCTTCACTTCTCTCATCCCCACAACAGCCATTCCAGCTGTTGTTTCCACGGGACATTCAGAAAGGCGTCGCTGCTCCATACCTGTTTCCTTGCTAAGCTCTGTCAGAATGTCTTGGTACATTGTCACCATTTGATCACAGTGAGTAAGGACATTTTTCCGTAGGTTGTCCCAGTGTGGAGACAGGTCACCAAGCTCTTTTAACTCCTGGTTTCTGTTAAGAATACAAAACAATAGAACATATATTTTTGTCTTTTATCTCAACAGTCAGAATTATTAATTAGGACTATCAAATAAATAACAAATTTTTCAATGTCCTTCTTAGGAAACTCTGACTTTATCAGCTTGAAATAAAAAATAATAAATAAAATAAAAGTATATGAAGTTTAGACTATAAAAATCCAAAAAAGTGAACTTTTTGATGAAATCTCACATATAGAAGATTTGGGTACAGCTCCCTTGTCATTAATTTCTCTCAAGGACAATCTCAATTCTCTGCATGCATATATGTTATCTCGGCTTTATCCAAAGGAATACCTAATCCTGCCATTTAGGTTTAAGTTATTAACTTTTATCCAAATTCTAGCCTTTAGCCAAGTTAATTTAAATAATCAGATTGCCTTTTAAAAGTGATAGTGATAAATGGTTGGATACACTGTGCAGTTGGATGGTTCTTCATTTCCATGACCTTTTGCTGGCCACATTTTCATGATGCTAATTTAACCAGCAATAATGAACTGTCTTTGCTATTTTGGACATGAAACATACTAAATACCAGGCTAATAAATTCAGAAGATGTAGAATCTTTATTATAGGAATGTTAAGTGCAAGAATAATTGATGGTGTATATAAATGTGCCTTGTTTGCTGGTCTTCGTTGTTGCTTTTGCTTTGTTTCAATGGAACTGTGATGAAGTCCGCTCCATCTTTCATGCGGTCTTTAGTCATTGCCAACATTAGTCTCATTCTCAGCTTTCCCAAAGGTTATCTTTCATGACAGAATATTCAATGGAGAAGTAATTAATCAGTAGAAAATGATAGTAGAAAGATTATGATAAAATGGGAGGCAGAGATAGAAGGTTTAAGCAGGAAGAATCACATTCTCTGACCTCAAATCATAGGATGTTCAAACTGAGTACAAAAGAATGACAAAACATGCTTGTGATTCCAGAAAGTTCCAGAATTCCAAGCCTAGAAGAAGAAGGACAAGTAGGTTGGGTCTGAGATAGAGAGCTGTGTGGTACATAAACCTAATTGGTTCTAGTCTTCGCTTTATAGTTCTATATGAGTATTAGTGCTTAGTGTTTCTATGTACTATGAGTAGATATGTGTTTGTTATTTATGATGCGTCTGTGTCTTCATCAGGAATACTAACTAAAGGTTTGCATGAGGAAGAAAAGGAGGACACATGACAGTATTGCTGAACTTCATGAGTGATGAAGTCAAGTGGTTATGCATGCCCTGGATGATGAGATGTTTTCCCAAAACACGGTCCAAAAAGTTTAGCTTCCTATGGAGTGGGGGGTGACCTGAGATAAACTGTCAGGATTCCATAGCAGATGGCATGAAATATTGCATGTATGTAACATGTCACAGTCTTGCAGAGAAATGCACAGACGGGCCTGGTCGTTCTAACAAAGACACCGAGAGGCACACATACAGACCCATCAGCACAGGGTTAGCTCACACTGAGAAAAGCTCACACAGAGGCTGAAACCAGAGCACCAAAACAGCAAAGGCAGCACTGAGCTTCTGTACAGTTAAACAGATAATTGAAATAAGATAATTATAATAACACAGTAAAGTAGATCAAAAAGTTTAATGGACAACAAAAATGAGGGAACATCACCATCAGGAAATCGGGACTGTTTATTTTCAGCAATGTTTTGATATTGTAATTTATTGCTAAGTGAGCCAAACCTCCTAGTTCAAACACCTCTTTCTATCAAATTGTCTATCTATTGGCTAAGAGACATGCTATAGCACATTCATTTTTCTATACTTACATCTTTCCTGTTCTATAAGAAGTTCAAGAACATTTGTTGACCCAGGAAAAAGATATTTAAACTGAAGCATTGCTTGATCAGATTGGCATATGGTCATGTCTGTGAAGAATGTTTTGACTGAGGATTGATATGGGAGAGCCCGTCATCATACTGAAGGTAGCACCATCTCTAAGCAAGAGGGCCCAGGCTGTATAAGACAGCAAGCTGAGTATGCTCCAGGAAGTGAACCACTAAGCAGCCTTCCTCCATGGTTTCTGTGGCAGTCCCTGGCTCAGCTCCTGCTCTGACTTCCCTCAAAGCTGAATCATGAGCTGGAAGTATAAGCCAAATAAACCCTTTGCTGTCCAGATTGATTTTTATTAGAGTGTTTATATCACAGCAAAAGAAAGCAAACTAGAACACAGTCTGTTCCAACACTTTGTCATATATAAAGACGATGCAGTCTTAATGTTATGTGTATCATAAAAATATTTCAAAAAACACTTATATATACATGTAAATAAAAAGTGTATGCTTTGACTTTGTATGCATGCATGCAATATTACAATATTCCCTGTGTCTCCAATAGTACAATACTTCTTCCCAGAGAACCCACTCCCCTGCCAAGAACGATCTCTTGCCCCTGCCGTCCCAGGACTTCCCTCACTAGCGTCTTCATCTTACATAATCTTCTAGCCTGTCTCCAGCTCCACTTTTTCTTCTAGCAGACAAAAGCAAACAGAAGAGGTTGAGAACAGGCTGGATATTGAAATGTTAGTAATCACAGGTCCCTCATATTTGCAAACATCTGCAAAGAAACAGATGATGGCTCAGGCTTGCAACACAGATAGTCCATGCTCTGTAGTTCAGGACATCCCATGCGAAAGTGTGGCATTCTTCAAACTCAATGAATAATTGAGACGGATTCACAGCAATAACTTTAGGGACTACCTACTATTTCTGTGTGGTTTTGTAACATCCTACCTAAATATTTCAAAAGCACCAGCTTTCCCTGTCAGGAGACATGCAGATTCCTTCAAGTTATTACGGTCCCCCGAACCTTCCACAGCATGGACTAATAACAATCCTGCCCCATGTGGAAACACAGCCACTGAATAATACAGGAAAAAGAGATTTAAAAACAAAACAAAGCTGTGCAGAGTGAAGGCAAATAACTGAACACAGAATGAGTCTCACAAAATCTGCATGTAAAACAACCAAACCTGCTTTCCATGTTTTATCTGCAATGGAGAAAACTCGCATGAGGACTTAGTTGGTAAATGGCATTGACACCATGGTCCCTGTTCCTTGGGGTGACTGTGAATGCAGCAATGAGGGCAACACTAAGCCAAGGCCAAGTGTGGGGACAGATACCAGCCCTCCACTTTCACCTGCACTTCTCCCATGACGCTCACTTGTATTTGATTTCATTGTCTAGTTATGTTGCAGGAGGCAGGAAATGTCTGTCGCAGCAAAAAAATGAAACAGGACTTAAGGATAACTGGTGCTGGACACTTGTCTATATTCTGTCAATTATGTTTTAAATAAACACTGATTGGCCAGTAGCCAGGCAGGAAATATAGGCGGGAAACCAGACAGGAAGTAGAGGCGGGTCAATGAGAACAGGAAAATTCTGGGAAGAGGGAAGCTCCCTCTGTAGTCCTGTCCAGACACAGAAGAAGCAAGATGTGACTATGCCACTGAAAAAAGGTACTGAGCCATGTGGCTAACACATATTAGCATAATGGGCTAATGTAAGTTATAAGAGCTAATAGGCCGATCAGTTTATAGTTAATGTGGACCTCTGTGTGATTTCTTTGGGACTTAATGATTGCAGGAACTGGGCAAGACAGAAACCTCAGACAACAGATAACTAAACAAAATTTTAAGACTGGTTGTGTATGGGGGGGGGGGGGATAGGTTATAGGAGAAGGGGATTCCAACATGGCTCACATGTACTGTGAGTAATAGCTACTTAAAAATTGTCAGTTACCATAATGCTAAATGTCAATTCCTTATTGTAAAACAAGCAAATACACGTATATATGACTATATATGTGTGTATAATAGGATATGTATATGAATAACTTGAGTATGTATATGTATATATGTATGAAAGATAGTATGTGAATCTCTATAGCAATATATCCTATATATTTTCTCCAAGGAACACTGATACCTAAACAATACTTCCATAAAACATACTACATTTCTCTGTGCATGAGACCAAGAGTGGCAGGAGCAATTGTAATGGGAATGAGAGAATCCAGAGAGAAATATCTGAAATATAAGCTGTTCAGCTCCTTCCATGGTCTTTTATTCCTCATCACTGACTTCACAAATATTCTCCCGAGTCTGCAAAGTAAAAATCATTGTGGAGATGTCCGACTTGGCGATGGGCTTCTACAAGCACAGGAAATGTCTTTCCTTCTCAAACAAAGGCACATGCATGAACACATTTATATTAGAAGGGTATATCCACAATTATAATTTTTAAATGGGTTTGAAAATTTAAAAAAAAATTCCTGAAATGGTTAAAAGCAATTATTGCAACAAGTATCTGAAACTAGCAGCTAATTCAGTATAAGAATGTGGTCAGACCAAATCGCATGACAAAAATTTATATTCCAAAGACTCCGACTGAGTAATAGGACAGCAAAACTGTATTTTAAATTGTTATTGTTGAAGTCAATAGAAATATCTTCCCAGAATGAGCTCCATAAAACTATTTTGCGGAGTAAAAATAGCTATACAATTTAAATGGAAGACTTTGGTAGTTAGAATATCATAAAGCCACACGTGGGTGGGCACGAGAAGAAAGTTTAACAGTCAAGCTGTTTCCATTCATTAAGCAAAATTAGACCTTAAATCAAGCCCAGAAGTCACAAAAATTATCTGTGAGGGAAAAAAAATTAAATAGTAAATGACCAGGGAAGAGCAGAGCCGTAAATGATTGGTGGGCAGCTTCAGCCTCATAAAGGGTTGGTGGCAGCATAAAGCCAGCAGAGTTTAAGTAGCTGTCAGGTTTCACGGTGTGTTCAGCCCACAACTGAAAATGTGCTTCAGCTGATATGGGGATGACAATTCCGTCCATAAATGGCAGGTTTCCTTTTTAACATGCATTTTATAAATGACTGTGTATTTAATGCTGTAATTGATGAGCCACTATTACACAGAAAATGCTGGAACCTTCTGAGTGGTCATTCACTCTGATTTTCATTTGACATTAA